CAGAAATTCTACCTCTTAGCCGTCGGCGCACGGCAGAGAGAAAGAGAAATTTTAGCTTTTTTCTATACGAAATTCGCCATATATATATATATATATGAATAGTTGGAGATTATAGCTCTCAGGGAAACAGTAATAGAGAAGGGTGTTCCACAGGCGAGAGGTGCGAGCGTGATGCCAGCCTCGTAGGACGCTTGAATTCATGAAGTCTGGGAACCAGCGAAAGCAGCTCATCGAAGCAATTATTATATGAGAGAGAGAGAGAGAGAGGCGACGGCACGTCTGTGAGAGAGCGACTGCAGACGAGATGCCAGATCAGGGCCAATTGCATTGCATATCCGTCTCTGGATCTTATCAAGAAGCCCGAGGATTGGAATTTTTTTTTTTACAGTAAGGGTCAGCCTGTACAAGACCTTGGGAGTCGGTTCTACAGAGCAGTGGTTCGCGGGAAGCAGCTGTCCGAGTGGAAATTACTTCTTACCGATGGCGTGTCTTTGCTGTAAATGTTTTAATTATATATATCGATAACGATAACTAGAAGCCTGAAAAAACCACTGAAGTAACCTAAAAAATAAAATAAAAAAGCACCCAGACATCTACACACAGCTGCTCGCAATAGAAAAAATATTGTAGATAACACCATCGTTCTAAAGAAATCTAATTATAAAAGGTGTCTTAAAATAATTGAGGATTTTTATATAAAAAGTTCAAGTCAAGCGTTAGCATTACCCTATTTAACAACTTTTAAAAGACACTCTCAAAATGGAGTCACAACCACATTTTTCTAGCACAGCTTAGAATTACGACTACTTCCATACAACTTTAAACACTAACACCGAAAGTCATATTGACAACGAACCCCACCCCCCTGAAAATAGGTAATGAATTGGCCGAAAGCAATGCGACAATGATAATCACGGAAAGTTTCTATACTCTCTTCGAACCAACAAAGGAAAACAGAACATCAGAAAAACCTTAAGAAAATTTAAAGATTTTCCTTGTCACATTAAAAGAAAGGTTGCTGTCCATATATATAATGTGTGTGTGGTTATAAACACAACAAAAATGGCTGGTTGTCGAGACATTGTTTTAAGAGCAATATTGTTAAATTGGCTTAAAGCTGGGGAAGAAAGCAATTTCAAGTTCACTTTGAAACTTTATAATGGTAGTGTGGAGACTGCGTTCACGCTGGCCGCCTTAATAATTTTTGAGTGTTTGCAAATTTTTGTGTAATTAACTAATTTAAAAAAATTTTTTTTTCACCCAATACAAGGCCAAAGGGCCTCGCAAGGTAGAGGATTACCGTGGAGTTGTATTAGCGTAAGTAAGGACAAGCGTTAGGAGTACAGAGTTGAAGTAGACTTTAGAAGGAACCGGAAGCTCAATCCTAAAAAGGAAACAAGTGATGAAATTCTAAGAGGCAAAGAGAAAAAAAAAAAAAAAAAAAGAAAAAGTAAAGATTACCCTTCCTTGTGTGAAAAAGCTTTATCAGGTGCAGATGTTGAAGATATTTTCATCATTTAAGCAAACCATAACACATCCCCAATGAATCTAAAAATCTATAAAACAGCTTTCTTGGTTTCTCTCTAGATGCCACTGTACTGATGGTGAGTGGGGAGCTATGCTGATGACATATGCATTCTGGTATAATGGAATATGTGTACACTTGTGTTCCCCCTCACTGGAATATGATCGGCTGGTGTCCGTCATAAATACCGACTGAGGTGGAGGTACGACAGTGTCAGAAGAAAGCCATAGTATAAGAGCTAAGTCTCTAACGACGCCCATTGGACTACGCCATTGATCTACACTTCTTACCTGCGACTACGACGCGTACCAGTCGATTACTGGTACCATATTCTACTTGGTTATAGTAGCCCAAACCACTTAGCTACTTCGTTCAAATATATCCCTTTCCGGGACATATTCATTCATAGTTGGGATAAGAATGACCTTGAACAAAAAAAAAATAAAAAAATAAAAAACCTTTTATCGAGTGTCCCAAGCAGTAGTACTTAACCCTTCGTCGAGCCCTGTGTTCCTCAACAATTTTAACCCTTCTGCTTGAGCTCCTGAGTCAAAATTCGAAAATAATCTGTTACGTGATATCTATTCTCCTGTATGACAGTGAATGCTGAACAATCTCCTCAAAGATGAAGAAGAGACTTGAAGCAGCAGAAATGTGGTTCTTTTCCAAGGCCATGTACACGAAAATGAACGCATTAAAAGTAGCCTGGAGTGTAAACTCAGATTATCGATTTCACTTCTTAGCGTTGATATGCTTCACATTAACCGAACCCTGCCATAGAAAGCCAAGAAGTCAGTATCCTTTAAGATTTTTATCATTCATATAAAAGACAATAGATCTAACAGAGTGATTACAGATTTTAAAAATATAGCAATGGCAATATATTTATTCAATATATTCAAGGACATCTGAAAAAGGGACATGAGGGCGATGTACATGGACATCAGAAGGTCGGAAGACGTGCGTAAAATTATATATATATATATATATATATATATATATATATATATATATACATACATACATACATACATACACACACACTATTTAAAAATGAAGTAAAAAAATAAATATATTCTCTATTCTCATATTCTCTAACATTCAGTAACCACTTGCGACTTACTGGCTTTATTACCTTGCTTTGGGTGAAATGATTTAAAAAAAGTAAAAATATATACTATCTAAAACATGGTAATGAAGTGAAAAAATAAATATACATTGTATTGATGATACATGTAATTTTCTCTTATATAATTATTTAGAATGTTACGTAGCAGCTAAGGAACAAAGGAAAAAGTAGAATTAGGTAATATTAAATTAGACTATCGGACAATTAACATCTAACTGGTTTTTACATGTTTCATCTCACTTTTTCCAGATATTTCCTATCATAAAAAACAGTTGATTAGATTTTGATTATCCTAGATTAAATATGATTAGCTTGATGCATAGAAATTCTATGGTTGACAGATTGAAGCTTGACATATTATGTTTTAAGGGGGATAAATTGAAAAAAAAAAAACAACATTCATTTAAATTCCCATACAGTCGGATATTGCATTTGGTTTTTGCTCTCTGTCCTGTTTCATTTCCATTTTCAAACTATTCTTTCTCACACAACGTTTACTGTGTTTATTTCTTTATTTGAATTCTTTACCTTTTATATTTTTGTTATGTCAACGAATACTCGTTGTCACTTTCGTAATGCTCGTTGTAGTAGAGACTGTGTAATCGTAGATACAACTATAGTAACGCCATTGAACAATACTGGTGTCAGACGCATTCGAATATCACTCGCACTAATAGTACATGCTCGATTATACTCGCTAGAATAGTAATCCGTATAGAGAAATAGTATAGTGAATAAAGTAGAAAAATATAGTATAGATTAGAAATGGTGATTCGTATAGTAACAGATGATTGATCGCTATATTCTATTCTATCTAGACGTCACGCGACTTCCTATGCGTTTCCTCTGTGGTCACGTGGTCTACTTAATTCAATAATGGATTCCCTGTGTTTGCTCACTGGTGATCTGTGTTCAAACTCAAGTGTTAGCAGAGACATGTTATTATATATATATATATATATATATATATATATATATATATATATATATATATATATATTACCAGTAGAGCCCGGCGATGTAACAGTAAGAGATAGATCAAGTATCGACCATCATAAAGACTGAAAAATAAAATTGACAAAGATTATTGTTTAAGGTTGACGGACACGCATGTCTTAATTAGTTTTTTTTTTTTTTTAACGAATTGGTCAAACCCAAACTCAAACAAAAACATTGTTTTCAATCATTATGAGTCTACTGATTGAATAGAATTTTATTATAAACAATTGTCTTGTAATTTTTAAAGCATGTAAATGTAATTTTTAAAGCATTCTGAATGTAAAAATAAAGAAAAAAGTGTGCAAGACAATAAGAAACACTACCTGCCAAAAAACAAGTGAAATTTTGTTGAAATCGGTTGAAAAATGTAGGAAATCCGATCCCATATATAAACGAAAAGAGACATACACAAACAACCAGGGTTTTATAATAAGTATATCTCGATATGAGTTGTCCCTCTTTCATCCTTGCAACAGCGATGCCTCTTAATCGTGTTTTCAAATTGATTTTGTGCAAAAAACAATTGTGTTTTTCCAATTTTTGACACTGTCAGAACCACCGCAAGGTAATTTTACGTAGTTCTGTGAAGTTTTGTTGAAATCGGTTGAAAAATGTAGGAAATCCGATCCAATATATAAACGTACAGACACACACACACACACAATCTGCGTTTTATAATAAGTAAGATATATATACTGCCTAACCTATTATGTTATTTTCCTTCAAGTTATCCCTACTAGTGAAAATATGTTGCCTCACTTTCCTTCAGCAATTTAATTATACATAATTAGTATAAAGCCTTTCATATGACGGACATAATTATTATAGACAAACGAGAAGAGTATGTCGAACTTCTGTAAGTATTTGAAACAATTGAATGCAATTATTTATTCAGTCAAATGAAGTCCTTCACAATACATTAAAGAATGCTGATGAACCTTGATATATACCATTAAAAAAAATATTGATTCATTTTTTTTTTTATTTATCCAGCGATTGTGGGTTATTTAAAGCTGAAATATATTTTGCATTGTAAAAATAATTATTCTTCTTGAGTGACTTTTGCATTAATTTATCGATCGATCGATTCATTTTCTACGGCTTATCAACCCTTTGCGGGTTATTTAACGTCAGAAACTATTTTTAGATTGTAAGAATTTTTCGAGAAAATAATAATTTGGTGATATAAGTCTTAATAATTAACCCATAGCTGGAGGGGAGAAGAGGTGGATTCATACATTTCGCAAGGGTACTTGCACATGAATAAATAAAACCGTACCTAACGGGAATTGGAACTCGACTCTTTCAGTCGTTATCCTTGACACCACTCACCAGATCCAAGCTTCAAACACCTAGTATTCTCAAGCGGTTACCCATATAGGTACTGACCAAGCTCGACATTCTTTAACTTCGGTGATCATACGGAAACTGGTGTTTCAAACTGATATTGCCGTAAGGCCGAATTTTTTTCGAGATAATGATTTTTTTTCAGGATACAAGCCCTACTATTTAACCCATAATTGGTAAGAGAAGAAAGGGATTCATACCTTTTCCAAGGGTATTTGAACATAAGTGAATGTAACAACCTCGACTGGAATTCGAGCACGGCTCTCCGATTTCCCATTTTGACACACTATTCATTACACCACCCGCCCATCTCATTCAAAAATGTAATGAAGTGAAAAAATTGTATCTATGATACATGTAACTTTCTTGTATATGATTGTTAAGAGCGTAAATTACGTTCTAACTAAGGAATGAAGGAAAAGGCAGAATGATATAATATTAAAGCTTCAATTAGACCAGTGATTGTCAAACGCTGGCGGCAAACTAGCGTACCGCGAAATATTGTAACGGCATACATACAGATATGTCTGTATCATTACTACTCCCCACCCCCGCAAAGTTAGTATTTGAATAAATAAATAAGTATTAAACATTTTTTCAAATAATTCTTTTCACTATTCTTCGATGTTATTTTAAAAATTTTGCTTTAATATTTATTTTTTTAAAGTATTTTTTATTTTTTTCAAGGGTTCAAAATAAAACATTCGAAGGTACCCATTGATACATTTTGGATTTCAATACAAAAGGAATGTCCGACATTAAGTAAAAAGGTTTTCTCAGTTTTATAGCAATTTTCTGTTTTTTTATTTATGTGAATAAGGTTTTTCAACCCTAAATAACATCAAAAATAAGAAGTGAGAAAGATTACGCTCAACTGAAAATGAAATGAGGGCCTGCTTATTACACATTCGACCAAACATTGAAGAAATCACGTTAAACATCAGACACAGGTTTCACACTAAATAAGCTGCACAAATATTTGAATGTACTTTTTTTTTTTTTTTTTTAAATGGTTTTATTTCATAACATTTAAACGTATCCCCTTTAAAATAATTTGCTAATTGTGCCTTGATATTTTCATTTGCTCCTGGGTGTGCCATTGCTTAAAATGGTTGAGAAATACTTAATTAGACTATCGGACAATTTTTCATAAATTTCAATTTGGTGATAAGGCAAAAGAGAGCTTGATATGTTCTTTATCTTGGCAAAAATTTAAAAGAAATCTTTTTAATTTAAAATAAAGACAGCTGCGTGCTTGAAACTCGTTCTGGATTTTAAGATTCAATCACAGATCAAAAATCGAAAATGTAATAAAAGGAAAAAAAACAAAAAAAACAAAACAAGCAGCGTTATTGATTCGGTCACAGACGGTCTCTGATTTGGTTAAAAAACAAAATAAAAAACAAAACAAAACAACCCCCCAAAAAAACAAACTAAAATCAAAAAAATATCATCAATAGCGAGAGTGTTTTGATGCGCCATCTGTTGATTGTTGTAGACACTCATGTCTTGTTTGACATAAGAAACAATAGAAAAAGATACGTTTCTTCTGAAGGCGGTGGCGGAGGTCTATTTGGCGTTATGATATCCAACAAAGTTTACTCTACCTCATCTTTTTATTATTATCTGACTTTTTTTTTTTTTATCTTTTGGTTTCGTTTTGAAATTCAACAAAAAAAAAGGGAGCGTTTAGTTGCACTTTGTATATGAACAAACAGATAAAGAGATGAATATTAACAGAGACACAAAAAAACAAGTTTGCTCACGCACGCACAAGCCTCAGATATTCGTATTACAGTTTCATTCGAAGAATTTAACACAGTCACTGTTACCTCGCATATTTGAACTTTTACATCAGGTTTCTCCATCCTGGACGATATCGTCCACCGGTGGGTGATTTCAACTCTCACATTGGCGATGTGCAGTTGAACTGAAAATGGTAGGCGATTGGAAATGTTGGTGCGCGATATAGAGTTATAAGTATTAAAAAGACATTTCAACATACGCTACCAGACAAAAAAAAAAAAAAATCAAAATATATATATATATATATATATATATATATATATATATATAAGAAAAGAAAAATGCAGGAAGTTAAATGAGAATAACTGGGTCATATTCCCATAATGCAATTATTCCATTACTCCACCATGGAGTAATTGCATTATGCGGATTGAGGAATCAGAGAGCCGAGTTCGAATTCTAGTCGAATCCATTACATTCACTTACGTGCTAATACCCTTGGGAAAGGTGGGAATCCTCTTCTTCTCCCTCCAGCTATGGGTAAATAGCAGGACAGACTGGGTTCTATAGCCTTGGATGGCAACTGGTATAGGAGAAGGACAACTCTGAATTCAAAACCTTTGGAGGGTCGTTTGGGGACCTTGTGGCACGTAGTGCACCAGGTCTCTGTATTCGGCCCTTCAAAAAGTGTGGATGGTCTTGCACGAAACCGTCACTACTATAATCAAATCTCATGTGCTGTTGTCGGGCTGTCGGTTTCCTAGGAACTGATCTGCTTGACCCTCATACGTCGAATTCGACGGGAGAGTTTAAGAAAAGAAAAAATGCAGGAGAATAGTTAAGATACAGATATTCCCCGCGAACAATGAATATTTTGGTATTTTCTATTATTTTGAGAAGGGTCATTAACATTCAGATATTTCTATTGACAAAATGACATTTTTTTTTTTATATAAATCAGATAAAAGAAGACCGAGAACAACAAAAAATATTCATTGTATTTTTATTAGTTGCTCGTAGTGTTTATTCTTTTTAATATTATAAACAAAAATCGTTTATTTTTTCTTGACACTTGTAACGCTAACCAAAAAACTATCCTTTATATGTAGAGTTGGCTCTCGTTTGTTCTTTAATACGGTAGTAGCAATAGAAGTAGTCGCCGCATAAGTCACCGTTATTTGTTACCTCTCTTTGGTATTTTTTTTTTTAATACGTAAAGTCAGTTTATGAACCAGTAACAAACTTTTAACAAACAATCGTGGTATAATTTTGAATATTTACTATACAGGTGGGCGGTAGCAAATTTTTCCATGTGAAAGTAGACGATGACACAGAAAAATCTGGGAAAACGGACATATATGAAATTGATATTCCCGACTCTATTTTCCTATTTAAATTTAATTTTAAAATTTATTTTTTTAAAAATTATTACTATCATCAAAAATACACATTTAAATATTTACATATAATAACGTAGTAATTCTGAAGGGTACAGTTTATTACTTAGTAACAATAGAAAATCGATCCCCCATTTTATATCCATTCGAATCTCAATATTAATGCTCGTTTACCTAAATAGCTCTATTTTGTTTTCCCTGGTATCATTAGTAAAATTTCACAATTGAACTTATATGAAGGATCAGTTTATTACTTAGTAACAATAGAAAATCGATCTCCTATTTTGTGTCCATTCGAATCTTAATTTTAATATTCGTTTACCTATGCTATTATAAATGGCAGCGTATTTTGGCCTTGTATCATTCGAAGGATCTCACGTGTGAATTTGTAGCAATTCTATAGGGATCAGTTTATTACTTATCAACAAAAGAAAATCGATCCCTCTCTTTATGTCCACTAGAATCTCCACATACCACTCTTTAAATATATTTTCCTTTTATCTACATATTTATGTAGTATATATATATATATATATTTAGTAAATCCGTTATTATTTAATAACAAAAGATCTAAGGCCATTTTATGTCGACTAAAATAACATTAGTTCCACTCAACTCAATACGTTAAAAAGCACAGGACAGACGTAAGCGATCATGGCTCCACAATTTCTTGTTTTTTATAATACAATTGAGATTTTCAGTCTTTACTATTATGTTTTCAAAAGAAAAATTTTAAATGTATTTTTCTAAACATTACTATAATTAGAAATATACATTTATAGACTTATATATAATAACGTAATTCTGGAGGGATCAGTTTATTATTTAATAACAATAGAAAATCGATCCCTTATTTTATGTCCATTCGAATCTCAATATTAATACTCGTTTACCAATGCTTTTATAAATGGCTGCCTATTTATTTTTTTGGCCTTGTATCATTCGAAGGATTTCACATGTGAATTTTTTGCAATTCTAGAGGGATCAGTTTATTACTTAATAACAATAGAAAATCGATCCCCAATTTTATGTCCATTACAATCTCATTATTAGTGCTCGTTTACCTAAATGGCTCTGTATTTCTTTTCTCTGGTATCATTAGAAAGATTTCACATTTGAACTTGTAGTCATTCTGGAGGGATCAGTTTATTACTTAGTAACAAAAGAAAATCAATCCCCTATTTTATGTCCATTCGAATCTCAGTATTAATGCTAGTTTACCTATGCTATTATAAATGGTTGCGTATTTTGGCCTTGTATCATTCGGAAGATTTCACATGTGAACTTGTAGTCACTCAGGAGGGATCAGTTTATTACTTAATAACAATAGAAAATTGACCCCCCTCTTAATGTCCATTAGAATCATAATAATATTACGACTATTATCCATGCCATATTTGAACACTAACAAAGAATAGGTGCTCGTTTCCGAATACAGCCGTCTGCTAGAGTAGCTAGCTAATCCAGCACGTTTCTGTTTCTTTATTACCCACAGAACGAATTTGTGGTTTGCACAACAACTACGAGGGTAGGCTGAAAAGTTCATAGGCTGACTTTGAAGGAGAAATGCGAACGCAGTAAAATATTGCATGCATTAATTTCAATTCTTATAAATAACTGCATTGTTTCGTTCCAGGTAAACCACATCTGACTGTCCATCCTGTTTGTAAGAAAAAAAAAGTTATCAACAGCAGATATGACGCTATCTTCACTGCGATAGTGGTTCTCAACCATGTGGTTTTCATGTTGGAGAACAGGTGATAGTCAAATCAGGAGAATAGGGATTGTGATTAACGAGTTCAAAGCCACAATCAGGCACAACTGCCATTAAAAGGACTAGAGCATTGCCCTGATGAAACAAGACCACTTTCGTCAGTCTACCTGGGGGTTTAGTAGTTGATAGCCTTTCATAATTGCCTCAGTAAGTTGGCATAGTACTCTCCATTGATGGCGTTGCCTTTTTGAA